TCCTGGCCGGCTGCCGAGTCCAGCCTGGGACTGCCCCAGTGCCAGCCCAGCGGTGTGGTGGTGACGTATCGTCATCAGGGTGGGGGGAGTTGGGTTCGGTATTGGTTTTGTGTCTATTTGTATATATTTCATTATTTCCTTGTTACTATCTCTTCTTTCATTGTTACTGTTTCATTAAAGCTGTTTTAGTTTTCTTTTCCGAACTGTAAAGTCTCCCTTCCTTTTCGGGAGGGCAGAGGGGTTAACAGAGAGTGTCTGTCATTCATTAGTGGCCGGCCCAGCCTCAACCCCTGACAGCCTCTAAATGGTGTTCTGATTGTATTGTGATTTGTTGATCTTTAAAAATTCTTAGGTTGTGACTGAGGGAGAAAAGGTTGCAGTTGATTAAACGACCTGATGGAATTCTAAAAGCGTGTAACTGCAATGGCATTGTCAGAGGTTTGGGTTTTTTCATTGTACAGCTGCACTATTACAAAGCTGCTTCGTTGAAACTTCCATCCACTGTAACTCTGCCGCCTGCCTGCCTGGCGCTGTGGTAGCTGCTGCAGTTCGTGGACCTACAAAAGGCAGGGGAAGTAACGAGGGAAGGTTTGAACTACAAGCATAAATGCCAGAACTGAAAGACTTAGATACTCTTATATAAGTTATTGAAATGTTTACGTGTATAAAGTGTGTGTGTCGATACAGTATAAAAACTGCATTAGCAAATTGCTAAATGTCCTGCAGATTGTTGGCAGTTTCCTGGGAGGACAGCGGTGTCTGCCCTTTCTGACACAGTAGGCAGGCCTTGGGTTTAAAGTGAGTTACTTAAGATGCCTAAAATAACGTGGTGGTGGTGGTGCAGTTCTTGGTAACTTGTTCCTGCTCTGGCACATCTTTTTTTTCTGCATTGCGTATTCAGGTGGATTGGGGAACAAATCTAGCAGACACACATGGAAAGTAGGAATATTTTCCCCTGTTTTTTTCAGCTGGATCCGTTTGCAGCCTCGCTGTACACAAAGCGTTGTCGGTAGGAGGCAATACGAGACTGGGAACACGTGGCTGGTGACTCAGGGCTGTGTGAGACAGGCCCGTTGCTCAAGTGCTGATCTCCGGTGCCACCTTTTCTCCATGACACTGGTGGCTCCTTGTCTTAATGCAGCCACCACGCGGTGCAGCGCCTTGCAGTTGGGGAGGGGTTCTGGAGGTTGGGTCAAGCAAATGCACTGAACAGCGGTTTTGAGTGTCATTCGGTGGAGGGTTTAGTACCGAGTAGCTGAGGTCAGTGTTCCTTCTTCCAGCCCCCGTGACGTCTTGCTGTATTGCTCCGACGACGCAGGCTCCCCTGGTGCGCGCAGGGAGCTGCGAGCTCATGCAGATCCGTTCAGTTTGCTTTGCCTGCAGCTGACCCTGTGGTCACGGAGTGGACTGAACCTGGTTTGGGGGCACCTAGTGCTCCGTGGCCACGTGATGCACAGCGCTCCTCTGATGCATGGTCACAACCTCTTTGTTTTGTTTTGTTTTTTTAACTAGCAAAAGTAGCCCTCCTTTCTCTCCACAAAGGCCTTGTACTACACCTGTGTTTCTACTGCGCTGTCTTGTCCTCCTGCAGCCTAGAGTTGTGTGGGTTCTAGTGGATTTGACAGAAGCTGGATGTCTGATCTGTATCAGATTGGTAATGTGAACTTCTCTGGTGTTGGAGATGATAGGAGCACACCCTTAGCATTGCAGAAATCCGGGAGGGCAAAGCAATCTCTTCCTCAGAGTGGCGCGGTCCTAACTGAGTTACGGCAGTTGCGGGGGTGATTAGAGTCTGAAGCAACAGCTGCGAGTTGCTCTCTTCAGGCCAGGG